GAGGGCGCGGCGCCGGGAGCGCGCGAAGGGGGCCAGGGCCGAGCGGCTAGCGGAGCCCGGCCGGCCGCCGCCCCGCTGCTGGGGCCTGTCCCCCGGCCACGTCCTCTCTGGCCTCAGTTTCCCAGTTTGTCCAGTGCGCCCGCACTTCTCGGCCCAGTTCTATCACGGCCCTGTTAAAAGGGCTGGTCTGGGACGACTTCTGGGCTTCTGCCTCCAATGAGTGGGGGTCAGGAGGGGGGCAGGTTAGTCCGACTTTCAGAATGCACCCTGAGTGGGTAGCTCCAAGATGGTGAGCTGGGGGCTCCAGGAGCCAAGACTGTCCTAAAATACCCATCCAAGGCCCCTGCGGAGCAAGAGCAGGTCCCCCTTGGGGCGTGCAGGAGGCTGGCTGGAAGGTGGACACCGGAAGTTCTGGGGCCAATGGGTCATCTATGTGCTGAACACCTACTGTGGATCTGGCCCTGGGCTGGGCCCTGGGGTAACAAGGGGTCTGAGCCTTCCATCCCTGGAGGGGGTCTTCCCCCACCCCCACCCCCACCCCCAAGGAAGGTACTGACAGCTGGCAGCTACAAATGTAGGTGGGGACTCCATGCGGTGATGGAGGAAGAAGAGGGCCACAGAGACCGGTGGAAGGGCATCCACCTGGCACTGGCTTTATTCAGCACATCTGGCCTGGAGTGGCCGCCCTGAGCTGGGTGCAGACACCCAGAGGGGATGCTGGGAGCCAGGGCAGAGGCAGACCCAAGAGGAGCTGTGACAGCTGAGGCTGCCCAGTATCGGCCCTTGTGTCCACTGGGGGACAGCTAAGGGGCCAGCGAGGGGGAGGGACTCCAGCCTTCTCCTCCTGCAGATTCCCAGGACACTGCAGACAGCTTTGGCCCCGACCCCTCCCGGGGCCCCTGCAGAGTCTCTCTGACAGCTGCCCCTCCCCCCAACCCAGAGGGAGGCCTCCAAGTTGACGGTAATCCTTTTGTAAAAGAAAGACTCATGAGCTACCTTTCCAGGGTTGATATGTATTTGGTGGGAAGGAGGGCATTTTTGTTCTTCATCCAGGGTCAGAGTTCAGCCTGGGGAGTACAGACACTTCATCTGGGTCAGAGGTAGGAGCAGCTAGGCACTCAGGACAGCGTCCGCAGCTGAAACTGGGGCTCCGTGCCTACCTCCTGGGGCTGACCTAGAGAAGGACACTCCCCAGGGAAGGACTATCTCCCCTGTTCAGGGTGACACGCTCCTCGGGACAAGGACTCCCAGTTCCTGGTCTCTCTCCTTGGCACCCCAACCTTGTGACCCCAAACAGCTGTTCCAGCTCTGAACGTGCACCCCCAGGCCCTGCGTCCAGGAGGCTGAGGGAGAGGCCTGACCAGTCCATGCTGCTGGGGCCAGACGCCTGACCTGAGAGTCACCCCCAGGTGTCAGACAGCTGACCATCGCTCATCTCCCAAACCCTCCCTGTGGGCCCTCAGGGGACAGGCCCTCTGGGACTTTCCCGTCCACTCACTGCTCTCCCAGGAGGGGTTTCCGCACCCTCTCCCATCCTGGGCTGGTGAGGATAAGAACAGATGGGGCCACTGGGGAGGGGCGGGGCACAGCAGTGGGAGGGCGCCCTCTCGTGGACAATATAGTGACTCCTAGGGCCTGCTGGCCATTTAAAGAACATTTTGGCCAGGAGGCGTCGTCTCAGTGGTCCAAAGCCTCCCGGCTTCCTCTCTGCTGGCCGTCTCCAGGAGGCCTCCCTGCCCGGTCTGCCCCGGTCTGCCCGCCGAGCGCCTGTGACCTGCTGTGAGCCCCACTCCCTATCCTGCGCGGCGCCCTTCGGTGCTGGTGTGAGCCTGCCGTGTGGCTGGGGCATCTCTGCGGGTGGGGCTAGTGCCCGCCTCTGACCTGTGGAGGGAAAACGGAGCCCCACTCCTCAAGAATAACTCCCAGCCACCTGCCCCCCAGGAATGGAATGTCAGGGGGAGGACCCAGCCCCACACGCCCACCTTGACCGGGGACGGGGCCCTCGGCCAGGTGTTTGCAACAGAAATGGCTGCATAGGG